AATATGCATTTCTATGGTATCCGCTATTTAGAAGAGAACAGGTCAGTTTGACTGATATTCGCATAATAAACTTTTCATATAAATACGTGTAATGCAAATAAATAAATGTGTCGTCACGTTAAAGTAGCTGGCTGTTCAATACGCATCCGAACTTAGTAACTTGCTAAAATGGATTTATTTACATCGTTGTTCTCTACATGAAATGCGATCAAGAAATAGTACTAGATTACATTTCTATTTACTCACCAATAAGTACGTACTAATTAAAATAACTCATAGTGTCATTGAATAAGAAAAAGAGAACTCAGCGAAGAAAATTTTCTTTTCGACGAAATCATTTACTTAAGCTGTACATTCGTATATATATAGTTATATGGAAAATATATGTCTATAGGAGGCTAGGAAAGATTGCATCATAAACTGATACTACCATGTAACTAAATGTACTCCATCCCGTCTATTTAAAATATTTGTGTCCTCTTAAATGTGTCAGGCTTCGGTTGTCATTTTTTCTACTCATGAGAACCAAAACAGTCTTGAAGTATTTCGTTGCATTCAAGTTCATTTATATGTCGTGTTTCGACAACATTTATTTCTGTAACCAATTTATTCCCACGTTCCTTAAAAATTTAGGAATATAGCTTTCCCTCTTTCATCCTCACATTTAACTGTTACGAAGTCTCATCTATAGTATACAGCACTGAAGTTAGTGTATTTGGTTTGACTGATATAATTCTGTTTCCTCAGTATTGTGTCTTTGACTACTATGAACATAGAGTTAAGAGTATCTATTGTAAGTTCAGAAAAATGCTCCTTTATTAATGTCGGGTTTAGGATCCCAAGTTGTTCCGGAGTTCTTTTACGGTAATATAAAGTAATTACTACGTTAATACATTCTTTCGGTTGATCTTTTTTCTCACTCTTTTCAAGAAACATTTTGATGGACTCTATGTAGAAACCGAGGTCAATAAATACCGAGCTAAATTGAACAACTAGGACCTTCATTGTAATTCAGTCTATCCTCAAAAAATTTCAATCATCCTAGATTTTACGGGCAACCGAAAATCTATCATAATATTTTTCTTCTTGAAAGCACTTTCTAATTGTTGTCAAAATTTACAACATTCGACGGAAGAGCTTATCTGCGAATATAATAATTTTCTGTCTTCGTTCACTGTAATCTTTAAAAAAAAATAAAGTACCAATTTAGTGTTTGATGATTGTAAAATTTATAGCATATTTCGTAGTTCATATTACACTTTCCAAAATCGCTTCATAATGTATAACTGGAACTTTCAACAAGGTGATAATTAGCATACCTGAACTAACATTGATTACATACACATTGCCAATTTTTTAATATTTGTGAAACGGTTACAGTTATTAGTTTGATGAAATAAAATTTTAATTATCAAGAAGTCATATGATCGCAGTGTATTTTTTCATAATTATTCTTTCATTATAAATAGTAGAATTCGCTAGGGAATATGTTTAGCAATGTTTTCTTATCTAGTTGCTTATTACTTTTGTACACTAAGTAATACTGTCCAGTTAAGTTGACGGAACAATTATTACTGCAGTTTTAATTAACAGCCAATAAATACTGGGGAAATTGTTCAATAACTGCGATCATTGGTTGGAGAGATTGGGTGACTTCACCTAAGAATTAGTCATACTAATGATCAAAATGCTTTCGTGTTTTCAATCTTCCTTTTGTTAATGACTTCCAGTATTCTATTAGGCATGTCTTTACGTTGCATTTGATTCTCAAACTATATTTTTAATGTTTAATCTTTCTTAGTGTATTTGCTACTACAATTGTATGGACGAGTGAAATACTTAATGTGTTAATTTCATTTCAGTTTTACTGATAACACTTACTTACGTCTGTTACCCCACGTGGAGGAGAATAGGCTTCTCATCAGCATTCTCCATCGACCTCTGTCCTGGGCAACCCTTTCCAGTTAGTATTCATCCTTCTGACGCCTGCTTTCAATTCTCGATGCAGCATGTCCTTTAACCTTTCACTTTCACGTTCCCCTTCAAGATTCCAAGTTAGGGCTTACCTCGTGATACAGTTTGATGATTTCCTTAATGTATGTCCTATCCGCTTTCGACGTCTTTTCCTAATTTCCTCTTCAGCTGGAACCCGGTTTGTTCTCTTCCACAGTAGGTTTTTGCAGATGGTATCCGGTCAAAGAATATTCAGTATCTTGCGTAGACAATTGTTTATATATACTTTTACCTTCTTATTGATGGTTGTAGTAGTTCTCCAAGTTTCAGCTCTGTACATTAGAACTGTCTTGATGTTCGTATTGAAGATTCTCACTTTGATATTGGTTGAAAGTTGTTTTGAGTTCCATATGTTCTTGGACTGTAGGAATGCGGCCCTTGTTTTGCCAATCCTCGCTTTTACTTCTGCATCCGATCCTCTCTGTTCATTGATGATGCTACCCCGATACGTGAAAGATCCCGCATCTTCCAGAGTTTCTCCATCAAGCGTGACTGGGTTGGTGTTCTCCGTGTTGTATTTGAGGTTCTTGCTTTGTCCCTTGTGTATGTTGAGGCCTACTGAAGCAGAGGCTACTGTTACACTAGTTTTCTTGACTTATATTTATTTGTGTGTGTGCGATGGAAGGGCCAGAATGATGTTGACGATTGTCTCAGGTACACCATAGTGTCGAAGAAGGTTCCATTAGATTCTCCTTCTATCGATGTAGGCAATGTTTATTGCAGTTGACATTCAAATTGAATGCAAATCACGTTGTTGATTTTTCTTTTTTTAAAAAGACAATGTATTATCCAGTCATTTTCAAAAAGTCGATCATAACAGTTCTAACATTTTATTTCTCAATCAATAAAGGAAAATTCTTGTTTATAAAAACTTTATATCATCCTCGGTTTATTTCAACTTATTATGGAAATAAAACAAAACATAATAACAATATATAATTATCACTTCACCTTCAATGTAAGTTGACATTTCAAGGAAAAAACGCTTATTTGTGTAGTTTAATTTTTACTTGAAATTAGACTGTAAACTATAAAAGGGAAATTTTATGGAGTGTTCCTTATCGATTTATTTCTGTATTTCATTTCGACAAATGCTCTGAAGTGTTTTTCATTAATTTCATCATACAATAATGTTTTTTTCTTGTAAACGATATTTATATGTTATATTATCTACTTTTTCCCTCATTTTTTTTTCATACAATTTGTTCTTTAAAATAAAAACGCGGCTCTTTATTCACTTGAGTTCGAGTTTGTTACAAGAAATTCAGACGATTTTCACTATTAATATTTTACAGGTATTGTAGAATGTCTTTTGTCTACATTCCTTTTTTTTCTGAGTAAAAATGTCTGTGTTGACCAGTTGTTATGTTTAGCTAATTGAATAATCAGTTTTTGACGACAAAATATGTGTCGTGTTTTGTTTCATCTTTTAACATTTTGGCTCAAATCATTTTGAAACTGAAAATTGTTTGAGTCTTCGGTTTGACTTTTGATGAACAAGTACTGGAAATCTGGTAGATCTGGACAATTGTTTCATCTTAGAACAGTATGTTTAAAGCATTTCTCATGTATGATGACAACAGGATTGGAAATGTTCAGGTTAGACGTACCATAAACATATGGTACATGTCAATCTCAGTAGACAATCAAAGCTTGGATCGTCTGGATGCATTAATTACATTTTGCATGATTGTTTTTATTTTATTAATGCTAGAACAAATTGTATTAAACGAAATCACTTCATCATCACAATTCATTCATTTAGAGTATTCCAAATAAATAATTTTATCATTATTGGATTTATCCTATCAATATTAGTATTGCAATATTAAATAGATAATTCAGTTTTTCCGGCTGATTTTGTTTAATTACGCTGTTTATTACTTGAATACGAAATCAGTCAAATATCACTTAAATGATACATAAATTGTGGTGTATGCTACTTATATCTGTTGATATAAGTAGCACGTAACACCAATCGGAAGTGAAACGCACGGCAGCAGAAAGCTAAGAAAATCGAACTGAAGAAAACAAACGGAATTAGAAAGGAATTGTGAATTGGAAGAATCATGCAGGATGTAAAGAACAGTTGATAGAATATTCGCAAATGAAGTATTTCATGTATCGTTCTTATATTCTATCGGGATACTCTGTAATTTTGTATTAAAATACATTGATTGTCCCCGTCTTTGTTTTCGTTCACTACAAAACCAATGATTAGAACTATTCATTTTTGAACCACTCAGTTATAGCATCGAATCTAACCGCATGCAGATTGCTTTGAACAGTATAATGATACATCTATCATGTATCCAATAAATATAAGTTTCATAAACATATATTAGGTTACTAAATGACCTACCTTAGTTCATGTTAAGAAGTAGTCCTTGCTCGAAAAAAGCATTCGGGCAGTGATCTAATAATTTAAATGATAAGCAGTAATTTAATGATAAGTCTTATATTTATACTCCCCCCTTTATTTACCTCTAAACAGAGTATCTCAATTAACCTCAAACCAAGTATGAGACTTAAGGCCGTGTACATAAATCTATGTTTAATTTGTGATCAACTTCGTAAGACTTATCCGACTAATTGTTCCGTGGCCGAGTGGATAACGCGATGGCGTTTGAAGCGAGGGTACTGGGTTCGAGTCTCAGAGTGAACATCAACTCTGAGATGCAGGTACATCCAGCTGACGAGTCCCAAATAGGACAAAACGCGCGTCCTGGATTCCACTGCTAGCCACTATCCATCTCTGCTTACCATGCTTGTGAATTAAGGCTATATTGAGGCAATACGCACAGTATGCACATATGCCAATTAGAGACTGACCAGTTGCAGTCCTAACAAATCGATGGGAAGATTCAAACAAACAATACTGAATGAATTTAATTGTCCTATTGTTTTTAATGCTTGTACACGCATATCGTATCGTTAATTATTTTCTTTTCTTCAAATAATTTCTTGCCTGTTTTTCTCGGTTCCAGTTGTTTGCTCCATTCAACATTGTAATAGTTATTGTTCGTTTAGAAATTTGGGAACAGGATCGTGTTAGTTTAAAAGTTGAAGAACATCATCTACTCACTGCATTAGCTCAATTTAAACGAATGCATGCTAATGTACGTCATGATTGTTTACATGCTCTATTGTAAGTTAGTATTCTAACATCTAGTGTTTTTTTTGTTATTGTTTCATATGGTGGACAATGCAATGATTATTAGATATTTATGTAAAATATAAGTTAGTCAGTCAACCAATCAATGGGCGATATAGAACCTGACACATATATATGTACGTTAGTTCAAGTTCCCATCACTTTGTCATCATAACCGGATGAAATTATCATGACTAATTCTAGACTAGTGAAAGTAGTTATGTAGTGTATGCTATTTATGTCGACAGACATAAGTAGGATGTAGCACCAATCGTAAGTGAAACGTACGGCAGCAGAAAGCTAAGAAAATCGAACTGAAGAAAACAAACGGAATTAGAAAGGAATTGTGAATTGGAAGAATCATGCAGGATGTAAAGAACAGTTGATAGAATATTCGCAAATGAAGTATTTCATGTATCGTTCTTATATTCTATCGGGATACTCTGTAATTTTGTATTAAAATACATTGGTTGTCCCCACCTGTGTTCTCGTCCATTATAGTTATAATATCACTAGTAGTGGAAAAGACTAAGTGTTTACAATATAGTGCTAGAAAGAAGAGTAAATTTGTTCCATAAAACAAATATAAAATGATTTCATAGCTCAAAATCTAAAAGTAATCAACGAATTCATGCATCTACGTCATTGGGACAGATTCTCATTCATCTCACTCAAAAATCTCCAACCACTAGTTACAACTATCTCTCGAATTACCTGAAGCTCATGTATTCACCTGGATCTGTAACATCGTTTTTTATTAGTAGTATTAAATAAATCTGAACGATAAATTATTCTCTAAGCTAAAAGTTCCTTGTTCATATCTGCTAGACATTGAAAACCAGTTTTGCACATTTGATATTGTTTACTTGTTTCTTCTCATTGTCGTTTAGGACTGCAAATGACCAGTTTCTCATCGGCATAAATGCATCCTGTGCGGATGGCCTCGATATTATCTTAAGTCACAAGCATTATAAACAAAGGTGGATGATGGTTAGCAGTGGAATCCAAGACGCGCGTCCTACTTGGGACTTGTCGACTGGATGTACCTGCATCCCCATCGCACAAACAAGTGGCTGTTAGGACTCAGTAGCTAAGGGGATAACGCGATGCCGTTTGAAGCGGACGGTACTCGGTTCTAGTCCCAGAGTGAACATCAACTTTAAGATGCAGGTACATCCAGTTGACAGTTCCTAATTAGAATGAAACGTGCATCCTGGATCACACAACTAACTATCATCCATCTTTGCTTATAGTTTTCCATAGTTCATTTTAATGTATTAATAAATAGTAGTTACTATAGTGATATGATTAATTATAATATCTAATTAGTATGTAATGTTTCATCACATGTATGCATACTTTTATCAACCAATTAATATGTGAATATTTTTATTCATTAAAGTTTTATCTGTACAGATGAATCATCTCAGTAGTTTATTATTATTATTATTCGAAATTTTAGCATTTATTTCTAAAAATCCAATCATATTTGCACATATCTATCTGAAATGAACTATTTTATTGCAAGACAGACTAAACAACATACACTGCAATACATTATTATTATTATTATTATTATTATTATTATTAATTATAAATTCCCGTAAAAATACTTCTATTCAACTCGTTTAATCGTAAATGTTGTCTAGAATAACATATAAACTTTGACATACTATTTTGTGAATTCTAATAGTACTTCCGATTTCCTGCACTGTAGTGACTCGTGTTTCAAACTGACATTACAGTAGTTGAACGTCGATCACACTCTAACCTCCATTCAGAATACCGATTTATATAACGTTGTCCCTGTGCTAAACCAATGACACGTCAATCAGCACTAGCAGCCTTGCGTCAACTCTGAATCTTTATTAATCCTCTGTATTAGTAACTTCTTGCCTAGCCCAGTTCTCTCAGTCTAGAACACAGATAACAGACTCCGCTGTGTGAATCTTATATTTCAATTATACGAAGTAAATATAAAAGCAGATCAGACTGCATCACACCATCAAATAAATAATAATAATAATCAAGCCATATGTGGCTAAGTGTAAGTGACTGTACCTGATTGGATGGGAATCACTTAAGAATGGTGGATCGTATAGTAGTAGCCAGTAGGTTAAATGAAAACTTATAGCAAGGGAAATATATATAATAACAGTCCATAAATAGTTCCCAGAAGTTATCCATAATTTAATCTTCATCGGATACAACAATGTCAGTCATCAAACCCTCCTTTTTTTTAAATAATACAAATTCATCTCAACTAACCAGTTCTTTTTTAGTGAATGATTAAAATCAATATTCAATCTAATTAAAACCACATATTACTGTTTAAACAAATAACCATTTGACCTTATTGATACTTAAAATACATTTGTTTATTGATTATTGAAATAGATAAACACATGTTTATGCTTGTTTTATTCAGCCTAAATAAGAGTGGGTAAAGTTTGCGGAAGTGGATGTGTCAGTAAGATATTAATAAAATTATTGTCAAATACTATTATTATTACTACTAATACTAAATCCTATTATGGTAATAGTGTAATGAACGCTACTCACAAGACTGTTTGTAAGTAGTGTGTAGCTGGTCGGAACGTCGAAGTTGTTATAATTGTCAGATAGAGTGAAAAGTTTCAATGCTTCCAAAGCATGGCGTTAGCAGAACACTTGAAGACCAAACGAGAAGACACTTCACATAACAGAACACACTGAATGGTGCAAATGAAAGGACGAAGGCTGCATATAAATACTTTGTAACTTCTTACAATAAATACATTCTTCGTGTTTATTGCTGTGTAGTACAACAGTAATTAAATGCTTAAACGATGATGACTAAAACCACTTTGCATAACTTCAACGTATGAGAAAAGTTTTATCTATTGATTAATTAGAAACCGCCCAAACTAATGTGTCATATATGATTGACTAACTCTTGCAAACTTAATTTTAATTCAATGTAATATAAATTTAGGTAGATAAGCTTGTTGTTGTTATATCTCTTTACAATTTAATAATATAAATACGAGTCAACTTATTTGTCTAAACTTTATCGTAGAGTCACATGTTTTCCCTAAAAAAACTTTTTCTGTTTTCTTTCTTTTCTTTATACAAACAAAAAATGACCTGACAACATAGAGGTACAAAAGAACAAGGTTCACGAACACGTGGAAAAGCTAATCACATGACCATGTGTATCTATTCGCGTTGCGTTGGATACAGTAGAGTAATTTTGAACAAAATGTTTCATTCTTAGACATTTTTATTTCTTTTAATAATTATTTAATTAATAATTAAATAACTCAATAATTCACTGAATTTTCGGTTCATTAGTTTGTTATCATATTAGTCATATTTGCTGAATGATTCATGTAATATACTGGTATTTGGTGCTGTTATTAGACATGATGATCTATCGTGATACATTCAATTGATTAACAAGTTCACTAATCCTTACAACTAGGTTATTCTGTTTTTGGCCTTCTTTCAGTGACTCATTCTCATCATATGGTCTGTAATGTTTATATGTATGTATATGAACATTTTGTAATTTGAATCAAACGAAATGACCATAGTTAGATAACCCTTGAAAATGAGGAACTATTAAAAAGTTGTTTCGTCCTAGTATAAGACTCTTCAGAAATGAGTTTCTAAAATCCGACTAAAAAGCTTCTTGATTTTCAACTGTTCGCTAAAGAATGTCAATTCATGATGTAGACCGCAAAATTCCGAAATCTCTTTAGACCACTTTCACTATAATGTAAACTTATCAACATCACTTAAATTGTCTTCATCTATTACCTAACTTTTTCAAGGAGATTCTATACAGCATAAAAATAATGTTCTCACCATAAAAATCATGAAGCTGTTTTAGTCTAGTTTAGTACAGCTCACAATCTTATTTCAGATTGGTATAAGATCCAAACCTAGCTTCCAACAAGGTTTGATTTGTTGAATAACTGACGAGTGAAATTAGAGACGCGCACCCTTCAATAAAAATCAAAACAAGGTGTTTTGGGGGTAATAACGGTTCTAAATTTCATCTTATATACAAATGTACAAATTTACCTAAACAAATATTACTCGTCAGTTATTCAACAAATCAAACCTAGTTGGAAACTAGGTTTAGATCTTACAATTGTACCCAGAACCTTTCAGTCTCTCAATCATGTCAATACTTTTAAACAACAGTTAACTAACTCATTTCATAGTCAATTAACTACTGTCCCACTTAGTTATGGAATTTTAATTTCACAGTTTACAGCTTCCTATTAGAATTTCGAAAGTTCCATCATGATTATATGTTGCCATTGGAAGAAAGAAGTTTTTTACTTACTTACGCACGATATCCCTCGTCGAGGAGCATAGGCCGCTCATCAGCATTCTCCATCCAACTCTGTCCTGAGCCTTCCTTTCCAGTTCTTTCCAGTTGTTATTCATCATTTTCATATCTACTTCTATTTCCCGGCGTAATGTGTTCTTTGGCCTTCCCCTTTTCCGCCTCCCTCCCGGATTCCAAGTTAGGGATTGCCTTGTAATGCACATTGGTGATTTCCTTAATGTATGTCTCATCCATTCCAACGTCTTTTCCTAATTTTCTCTTCAGCTGGAAGCTGGAGAAAGAAGTTTGCCTAACAAAAATAGGACTATTGTTTTGATTATGATTGAAAACAAATAAATACAATATTTCATCTGGAAATAAAAATATGGATATTTCATCTACTTTTTTTCTTTGTTGTTGTATATATTTATTTAGGTATCACCAACATTTGATATTATCGAAACAGCTCGTACTATCGCACATGAACTTGGACATAATTTCGGCTTAAGACATGATACTGAAGAATGTGAATGTCAAGGTTGTATTATGGCTACTGGTGTAGAGTAAGTACTACTCAGTGAATTATATCCGTCTGTTTTTGATGAATAAATTATATTGGAAGTCCAAGGTGAAGATTTTACATTACCTTGATTTGATCTCGCAACGGAATCTTGTTAGGACTTTGCGTCTTCGTTGAGGCTCGTCAAATGTACTTGCATCTTATTGTCACCATCCGCTTGATAACTGTTGTAGGTTGTTGAAAACTTTGCCTAATATAGCTCAAAAATCGGCAGTGATGGAACAGATACTATTCACTCCTTATCTTTCTATTTCGAATTCCAGTGCCCCATTATACATGCCTTTTGCTATGTCTTTTCAAGTCATATTCTCAAGGCTTATCTCTCATTTTATCATTGCTACTACATTATTTCGATCAATTTTGTTATTTTCGTCTCATCGTGCCAATGTCTTTTCGTCAGCGTCAATTTTCATATTGTAATTTGAAACCACTGCTTACCGCTGCAAACATCAACGCGTTATCCACTAGATTACTAAGTCTACTAACGTGTTCGTCGGGTATGAATTTATATGTAAGTGTGCGTAGTATCTCGTTTTTAATATACAAATCAGTCAGTGACTATCTAAGCTCAGTAGCTTAATCAATAAAGTGTGATAGATAAAAGCAATAGTACTGGGTTCTCGGACAGCCCATTTGACAACGTAAAGATTGGTTAATTGAAGTCCTTGATATCAATAATAGGAAATTACACAACCTTGCTACTTGAAAGATTTCCAAGTCAGCAATTCAAATTGTCAACATTATGCTGAACTTTGTCACTGTCTTTCACATTATTGTCTCAAAAGACTTTTTTTGTTGATTTTTTTTCAGTAATAAGTTAATTTCGAGAAAATAAAAACCAGTATTTTGACAGAATTATAAACTGTCAACTTTTCTTAATAACGTGTTTTGTTTTCAGATTTGCTATTTCTTGTCAAGATCGCAGACATGTTTATTGTCTTTGTTGTTTCCATATTGTATTTGTTTTCCTCTTTAATGTACATAACTTATTCGGTTATTTGAATGAATAATTGTCTTATCAGACAACTTAGTATATCTCAGGCTTTTATATCATCACAAAAATATCGTCTCTTCTTATTTTCTTTAGATATAAAGAAAGCAATTTCTTATAGGCGCTTATTTATGCACATATGTGTTTTCCAAATTCACTATTAGTTTGTCCACATATGATGTCTAAGTATGAGTGCCTAAATAAGGGTTGTTTGTAATTGTTTACCTATTACGATGCTCTTAAGTCATAATAATCATATTCTCACAAGCAAATCGCAAGTATCACGTGGTTTCCAAGGTTGCTTTTTTCGACAACAATGTCCATGATTATGATCATGAGAGAGAGATTACAAACACTCTTTGTGTTGGTTAGGTTCGGTTTTTGTTTTGGTGAAATAAATAATGTCAAATATGTTATTTTCTTCAATTTGATAGTTTCTTTGGGAAATATATCAACTCGTTATTAGTTCATTTCGATTATTTGTAAGATAGAGACACCTTCAAGGATATGTTCTTTTTATCATGAATTGATATTACTTATAATATACCTGGAAATAAACGAACATTAGGCCTATATATTATTCAAGAGTAGGAATTAAAAGGTATTTATTTCAACTAAGAACACAACCATCACTAAGTTAATGGTGTTAATATACAAAAGAAAGATTGTATATAAGGATATATTACAGGAAGAAAGAAAGATATGAAGAAATTTTAATCTCAAGGTTTAAGGGAAGATAAAGAGTGTATACACCTTCGCCATTGTGATCGATTCTCAGCCATGTCACCAAGAGTCTCCAACCATTGGTTACGATAGTCACGCGCACCCTAACCAAGTAGTCTTAATCTAACAACATGGTTCAGATTAGACGTTAGTGACTTTAAGCACTGATGACACATTTTGGTTTGGCCGCCCTTAACTCTCTTCCAACCATCGCCAATACTAGTCAGCTTAGCGCGTCGTCATAATCGGTGTTCAGGCATACGTAACACGTGGCCCAAACCATCTCAGTCGATGAAGATTCACAACCTCATCAACTGATTTACCATCATTCCCTAATAACCTACGTGTAATCTCATTATCACTTACCTGGTGATCCCAGCAAATGCGAGCAATATTTCTAAGGCATCTGTGATCAAATACTAGTAGGTTATGAGTATTTTCTACTCTTACTGGTCACATTTTGCTGCTGTAAAGTAGAACAGAACGAACTGTTGCGCAGTATACTCGTCCCTTAATTGATAGACGGATATCTCGCCTTCGCCATAGGTGACGTAAGTTGACAAAATGCAGGAGAGCCTTTTGAATCTGTGCTGAGATTTGGTCAAACTCCACCCATTAGAGCCGATCAGACCTCCAAGATAAGTGAAGTTGTCGACGTGTTCGACTACTTCACTCCCTCTCGGTCTACAGAGTCAAATGCTGCTTTTAAGTCAAGAAAAACTATCATTGTCTGACACCCATAAGTATGCCTGCGTTCTAAAACCTGACGTATAGTGAATATTTGTTTTATACAGCCAGGACCAGGTCTGAAGCCAGCCTGATTTTCTCGTGTTTGCAGTTCACGAGTCTTAGTTAGGCGCCCGATAATTATTGAGGTTAGTATTTTAGATGCTATATTAGTCAAACTAATCTCTCCATGGTTATCACAGAATGATTTTGACCCCTTCTTATATTTCGGGACAACCAGTCACATGACATTACATTATGCCTAACTCTTAGATTTTAGCTGAAATATTATTCAACTTAATCGCTAAAACTGGACCTTCATGCATGAAGATCTCTGAAGCCAATCCATTTGGACCAGCTGCTCTTCCTCCTTTCAGATTAGCTATAGCCTTTTAAACCTCAGATAGAGTCGGGGGACCTACTTCAATGTTCCATTCAGACTGTTTGGGAATAGTGGGTAACTGTCGAGTAGCTGAAGGCCAGCTTAACTGTTCTCTTAAGTGTTCCGCCCATCGTTCTAAACGTCTCGGTTTAGAGCAGATGAGACTCTCATCTTTTTCCGAGATCGTCCCGTTTTTACTTGACTTCTTAATTTTGGTTTCTTTTAGTAGGCGCTCGGGAATCGAACATTGATCGGCCCCTAAATGCCCTGATACGGCCGAGAGTGAGCAGAGTCCGCTCTCCCTCTCGAAATGCCCTCATATGGTCAGCCTCTGCCAGGGAAGCCCTACTCACTGCCTTGTCGTGCCAAAGGTATTGTTTACGAAATGGAGAGGACGAAAAGCGAATGTCCGGCGCTTCAACCGGGTTGGTGGATGTGGAGTGTCCACCTAGGGGAGTTGGAAAACCCTGATTCCAAACCAATGGTGCACATTGGCTCCAGTATCCTGAAGGAACGAATGGCGTATGAATTAATCATTGATTACCGGCTACCATGGGACTGCATCTCCTCACGATGCTCCACTGCCTTGTGGACTAGACCTTCAGGTCAAAGGCTCGGGGTGTGGCCCCCTAAGAAAATCACCTGCTTCAGTTTGGGCATCTGGGCAGTATCACAGCCCTCACACAAAATCGAATGAGATTTGTGAGGCGTATACTTATCTGGTGCTTCCTTGTACCATTATTTATGTGTTTAAGTAAATAATAAATAATTATTAGTCTGAAGAGTTGTCTAGCGTTATCTACAGCCACTGCCTTTTCCATCCCTTTTGCTTTCGTTGCCCACCACTGCTCACGGTCGTTCCTTAGACTTTTGTTAAACCTAGATATGTTTTGTTTTCGCTCGGGAATCGAACATTGATCGGCTCATTATTTCATCGAAACTCAACAATCCGCAGAACCCTATTCTTCTAAAATTAATTTCTGATTGATTTAATCATGAATTTATATACTTAAGCTTGGATTATAGAAATTCATACAAAGTTATGTAAGATATCACAATTGAATATCTTATACATTTGAATTTTCTGAAAGAAACTGGTTATAACAGAAGCAAAAGATCATGGGATTTAAATAAATGATTTCGCAGACAAATGAATGAATATTTTACCTGATACATCTTCTGATTGAACGCTACTTGTTATATCTGGTCGTCAATGATTATTATGTCGGAGTCACTTATTACTTATACTTGTAAAACGAGGAATCACCTCTGTTCCCACGACTCGAGAGTAAGAACGTAGAGACTGGTACAGATGAAGCTTTGCTAACCCTGAAACACGACGACGACCCTAGTCGAAAATACATCCATCTATATATTGATTTGTACGCCCATTTTTTGATTATTAATTAGGATAAAATCACATATATGAAAAATACAGTTATAACAAATCATAAGCTACATGTCATGCTACAGAATAAAATATCACACTGGAAAACAGAAACAAATACCACACTTATTAATCAAGACATTGAATTAAAACGGAATTAATGTAAAGTAATTTTGACTTTTCATCCCGTTATGTCATAACCTACTCCATGCTTATCTGTTCACTTTTATGAAATTACACAACCTCTTTTTTAAGTTGTATTTTACTAATGTTACTACAATAATCGATTTTTTCAGAAACTGTCATTTAAATATCGTCACATATCCGGTCTTCGTAATTTTTATTGGATTGTTGTAGTTTTTCTAAAACCCTACCGATACATGTTTATCATCTAAATTTAGGTTTACCGATTAATATCTACAAGTTATCTAAAACCTGTCCAAAATTAAAACCTAAGTGGAAATGTCGAATGAAGTTATCTATGTCAATGTGTCCGATTTTAAGTCCTTTCATTCAAAGTTTACTACGACTAATCACGCTGTCCTCAACAATGCAATGTTTATCTGCCATTACAGTTCAGATTAATGGTCACTGACTTCATGGATTGATTCCATTTCCCAGATAAACTGCCTTCTTGATTCTTTACATGTACGCCTACAAAAATCAGCACTAGACGTCGAGGTAGACAGTGATCAGTTATAAGTTACGGATATTACATCTAACTCCGCCGACGACAATGCACAATCTCAACAACCAATTCACCATCTTTACCTAGAACATTACGTTCAAACATGTGTGGACCTCTCAGTTACTCCACTTTTACCATACCAATGCTTCAAAGACATCAATGATCAAATACTAGTAAGAATATTCTCTGCTTATCAAGCCCATGTTTTCCAGTTGTAAAGTATGGCAGAGTAAGCTGCTATACAGAAGCTTTATTTTGTCCTTACCCTAAAGTATCTTGTTATTCTTTAGTTATTACACTATATTTTTTAACTTCTCATTCATTGTTCTCTATCAAAACATACATTTAATGAACAAATTTATTGGTCCACGTTTGTCTTTTCGCAGAGTCATCTTATTCATATTCAATTTTAGGCTGTTTCTAAATTACTTCATATGTTCCTTTTGGATAAAAAGTGATTTTTCATTACGTTAAGAAAAGGTTTGTTTGATGGTACATTGAATCTATTGTTTACCTTTCATCCCATCAGACTGGACTGCGTAAAAATAAATTTATATCTCTCTAATTTATAATATGATTCAATATTCATCCTCATAGTCATCATTGTATGTCTTTTTCGCTTCTCACCTTAAAGATTTGGCACAACAGTTATGAAATGGTCACCATGTTCTAAAAGAGATCTACCAGGTCTATTAAAACATGGAATGGGTGTTTGTTTGAATGATTTGCCTGCTAGTGGGAGTGTAACAGTTAATTCTTTCGTACCAAACTCTAAAACGTCTACACATAAAAAGAATAACAATGATAATAATAATAGTATCCCAAGTGTTGTACATATTTATGATTGGCAAAGTGAAGCGAAACGAATTCCAGTTAGTCGTGTATTAACTATAAGACAACATCATTCTGTCTCATCTGTTGAGAAATATTCAAATGGATTATGTGGAAATGGAGTGTTGGATCCTGGTGAAGAATGTGATTGTGGTACACAGTAAGTTAAACCAGGTCTTTTTTTATGTTATTGTTATTTTCATTTCGTAAAAAATTATCTGCCTTTAGTATTGCTTGTTTGAATCTTCCCATCGATGTGTTAGGACTACAACTGATCGGTCTCTAATTATCTGCATTGTTATTTGATGCAGATACATCAGTCAGTCTTAATAAACGTAAAATCTGGCACATACATTCACATGTTCAATTCATTACAGAAAATCAGCACAGCGAGTTAAAATTCTAAAACAGATTCACCTGCGCTCGATATTCAACTATTCGAAGAAGCGTTACATAACTTTACTCACGCTCCAACCAAGGTAGTTTTTTTTACTTACCAACATGACTCAGTTTAGTCGTCACTGGCTTTATGGAGTGATGCTACGTCTTGATATGGCCTCCCCTAACTTTCTTTAGACCGACTCCTCCACCATCAAACATTGTTTGTCATGGTAAACGGTAGCTAGACGAACATAACAGCTGTTCTATTCAACTTGGTTGATGAAGATTCACATCCTCATTAACAATGCTATTCAATTGTGATAACACTATTCAATTAAGATCTTAACACTTTTCTTTTTCAATAAAATAATACTTGATGTACAAATGGAGTAATACAGTGTTTTGTAATTGCACAATGATTGCATGCATTTGTACTCAAACTTATAATAAACGTTGTGTTTGTTTGTTTGAATAGTTTGAAAGACATTTTTTTCAGAATAGACTGGAAACTGTTTGACGAAACCTTTAAAAATCTGAAAACATCATATACTTCATCCCATTTCAAAATTTACGATAAGCATAGATATTCCATTTCATATTATATCGAAGCTGGGACTGGTGAGCATGATAGAACTCAATCTTTAATTTCGAGTTCAATATTCTACACTTTTTAAACTTCGTGTAATTCACGATTTAACATGATCTTCATTGGTCCTAAACTTATTTACCTCCTTAACCCACGTTGTTTTGTTGAATTTTCGGACTCTTCATTTTCAAACAAGTTACTAATGTGCTGTGAATTATAAATGGATTTTTAATAGCGGTAATATTCATAATTATTCTACATCTGTAATTCCTCTGATATCAAAAAAATACTTTTCAGTTTTGTTTTTTATACTATGCACTGGATATTGAGTGGTTAGTTGGATATTCACACCAAATCTTTTTAAGTTAACCAGTAATTTTATCTGTTTTAACGTTACACTTTACTGATGAATAATTAGAAGGAATAAAATTCCTTCACACATGCCACTATGTGTCTAACATTTCAAACCATCCAACAACAAATAAATAAGAAGAAACCCGAAGACATGAATTGTTTTCAACTTTAGTATACTTTGAATGATTCAATAGTTTGATCTGTTTCCCTGGTGTTTATATAAATTGTTTGAATCGGTGAACAAGTAGAAACATGCATATCTGTATATTCATTAGCTAAAACATCATCACTCTTAATTGGACAGAAAAATAATTTAGATTAAAGAAATCAAAGTAGTAGCTCTATTAATTTTAATGATCATAACTTCAAAAGAATGCAGCGGTTATTGTTTAGAGTGGACTTCATTAGATTTTATTGTTGGATTATGTATTTATATACCCTGACAAAAATCATACACCAATGAGAAATGGAATAACTGGCGTGTATGAAACAAATTTCAACCAACAATTCAATATACTTGATTTATCCAACGATCAGTTATTTTATCTTTTAGTAATGCCTATCATTCGTAGAATAGTCACCATATATAATCCCTGTAATTATCTGCATTCACATTTTTTTAAGACAACTAATATTAATTTTCCGTCAATATCACAGCTGAACAAAAAAGGTTAACTAAGATTAGAAGATGTAAATTTGTGATATTTATTGAGTTTGTAAAGTTTTTTATGCACAATACAAATTATATGAGAAGCCTTTGGCGAAATTACGTTTCTATGATCCATCACCATAGCAGCTTGAAATGTTTCTTTACCAAGACGTCAACGCTGCTAGTCTGAAATGTAATGAAACATGTGACTTCCTGAGATCGATATTTTTTTCTTGGTTGTCTGTCTACCTATCTGTCTGATAGTCATAATTGAGCGTTATCTTTGAGACCACTAACTTGGTTGATAAACGGTTGAAACCGGAGTCCTAACCTATGATGGGAATAATGCATATGCAAGAAAAGAAATGAAAAAGGATAGACCGATAGAAAACAATCGATAGTGGAGAGCAAGATTTGGGACAGAAAATATCAGTTATAATTTAACTCCCTTATTTGAATTAGTTTTGCTTCAATTTTACTTAATTCTTATTTACAGTCGTCAATGTCTACTTCCCAACAATTTCACATTGGCCCAATTTCCTACATTTCTCTGCTTTTAATAGAATTAATCCTTTTTATAGAAAGAATCATACCAGTGTTAAATTTCTTACATGTGCTAGGTGTTATTGAAAATATCTATCACATATCCAAGTATCTTAATAATCTAAAGGTTGCAACGTTGTGACGAATCACTAACTTTGTGCTTACAATACATACTATTGTTTAGAATTTCAAGATGTTGAACTCATTCAACAACTTAGTAGATAACGCATGTTAAATGGGAGTGATAAGGAATACTATCGAATCTCATTGAAAATATTATCACTGAAATCAGTGTACATCAAACCGAAGGGTTCAAAACGGTATGGAACACACGTTCCAGATCCCATTAGTAGCCACATACCGAATATACAGTTATCAGAATACTTTGTGATTTTCTCCAGATTTGGATAGTTGGTCGTGATGATATTAGTTGTATTATTTGTTTCGACACAATGTAAACATCGTCCCAGTGGTTATTCTTTGTATGCATATTCTGCTGTATGTGTAAGAAACACTATACAGGAAAACAGATGGAGAATGAAAATTTATCGTTTATCATATTCAGATGCCTAAACTTTTTGACTTGTATGTTATCAATGTACTGTTGACATTCTTTTTATTATATATTGTGTTTGTTTGTGGATTTGCCGGCAACAGAATGACTCACCCAATCAATTTTGAAAATTAATCGACTTCTATATCGACAATAATAAGAAGTTAATTTCCTATTAAAGCAATAAGAATAAAACAAAACAAAGATTTATCAGTGCACAAGAGTTTGGACATTCGCTTAGTGAATACGGTTTTATATCCGTTTATTTTGTCGGTAGCACTGTCTATCTATCAATCAAATGTTAATGTTTATAGTCGATTTGAATCAAGATCATTTTGGAAAACGAAATTAATACCATTGAACTATTCAATTTAAAATAAAGCTTTAGAGCCTAACCTACGTATGACATTTGAATAATAGTTATGAATTGATAGATTCTAGAGTAATTTCGTTTTGGAAATGATAGTGCTTTCTAAGTTATCCAAGAAACAGTCTGCTAATAGGAGGGACTCAGAAGAGGTCGCATCGTCATACTATCGATTCGCCAGTGAAACCAATGGTTCATTTAAAATATTAAACGAAACTAATTCTACTACAACTACCATTACCTGCATACAACAGGGTACACTTTTTTTTAATATCACGATTGTACAACTTAATACTTACGTTACTAAATTAGGAGGGTTGGGCATGGGGTTAGCGACCCCATCCCGTAGAAAAGCTAACTCTCTAAAAAAACGCTAACCAGAAAAAATAATCAAAACCATTTAAACTCTGCCCTGGGAGTTGAAGGAATAATGACGTCTCATAATGAAAGCCGAAATTCTTCGGAAGTCACGAGACCGATGCACCTTCTAACAACCAGAGCAACACTCTTTATAGGTACATGGAACGTCCGGACAATGTGGGAAACAGGAAAGACCAGCCAAATAGCAATGGAAATGAGGAGATACAACTTGGCAGTACTCGGAATCAGCGAAACCCATTGGACACAAACTGGACAACAAAGGCTAGGTACAGGAGAGATGCTGCTGTACTCCGGTCACGAAGGGGAAAATGCTCCACACACTCAGGGAGTTGCTCTAATGCTGTTCAAAGAAGCACGAAATGCACTTGTGGGATGGGAATCTCATGGACCCAGGATAATCAAAGCATCATTCAGAACAAAGAAGCAAGGGATCGCAATGAATGTTATCCAATGTTATGCACCCACCAATGATAGCAACGACGATGATAAAGATCAGTTCTATGAAAGGCTGCAATCAATTATGGAGAAGTGCTCACGAAAGGACCTCACCATCCTTATGGGAGATCTAAATGCTAAAGTTGGAGTCGACAACACAGGATATGAAGATGTAATTGGACGACATGGACTAGGAGAGAGAAATGAAAATGGGGAGAGGCTTGCAAACCTATGTGCTTTCAACAAATTGGTTATAGGCGGCACAATATTCCCACACAAACGCATACACAAAGCTACATGGATCTCACCGGACCACACCACAGAGAACCAGATTGATCACATCTGTATCAACAAAAAATTCCGAAGATCAATGGAAGATGTGAGAACCCGGAGAGGAGCTGACATAGCTTCAGATCACCACCTGGTTGTGGCCAAGATGAGACTGAAGCTAAAGAAAGACTGGACAACTGGACAAACAGCACTACAAAGGTTTAATACAGCCTTCCTTCGAGATACTGACAAACTCCATGAATTCAAGATAACTCTCAACAACAGGTTCCAAGCTCTACAGGATCTACTGAAAGAACAAGAAACTACGATGGAGGACAACTGGAAAGGGATAAAAGAAGCACTAACTTCAACGTGTCAGGAGGTTCTTGGTCCTAAGAAGCACCATCACAAGGAATGGATCTCTATGGGAACCCTGGACAAACTTCAAGAAAGGAAGAACAAGAAACTAGCAATTAACAACAGCCGAACACGAGTAGAGAAAGTCAAAGCACAAGCAGACTACGCAGAAGCAAACAGAGAAGTGAAGAAAAGCATTAAAGCCGACAAGCAGAAATACATGGGAGAACTAGCAACGGCGGCGGAAAAAGCTGCAAGAGAAGGGAATATGAAACAACTATATGATACAACGAAGAAATTGGCAGGGAGATATAGCAAACCAGAGAGACCAGTCAAAGACAAAGAAGGAAAGACAATCACTGAGATTCAGGAACAGAGGAAAAGATGGTCAGAATACTTCGAGGAACTGCTGAATAGACCAGCCCCATCGAATCCACCGAACATCGAAGCAGCCCACACAGACCTTCCAATAGATGTCACTCCACGAACGATCGAAGAAGTGAAGATGGCCATCAGACAAATCAAAAGTGGGAAAGCGGCAGGACCTGACAATATACCAGCAGAAGCACTGAAGTCAGACATTGAAATAACTGCAAACATGCTTCACCTTCTATTCAAAAAGATTTGGGAAGAGGAACAAGTGCCAACGAACTGGAAAGAAGGATATCTCATCAAGATACCAAAGAAAGGAGATCTGAGCCAATGTGAGAACTACAGAGGTATCAGTTTGTTATCAGTACCAGGAAAAGTTTTCAACAGAGTGCTGCTGAATCGGATGAAAGACGCAGTAGACGCCGAACTTAGGGATCATCAGGCTGGATTCCGTAAGGATCGGTCGTGCACAGACCAGATTGCGACACTACGGATCATCGTTGAACAATCAGTTGAGTGGAACTCATCACTATACGTCAACTTCATCGACTATGAGAAGGCGTTTGACAGCGTGGATAGGAGAACATTGTGGAAACTTCTTCGACACTATGGAGTTCCTCAGAAGATCGTCAACATTATCCAAAACTCATACGATGGATTACAGTGCAAAGTGGTGCATGGAGGACAGCTGACAGATGCATTTCCAGTAAGGACCGGAGTCAGACAAGGCTGTTTACTCTCCCCATTCCTCTTCCTTCTAGTGATTGACTGGATTATGAAGAATTCGACATCTGAAGGGAAATACGGAATACAATGGACTTCTCAGAATCAATTAGATGATTTGGACTTCGCAGATGACCTAGCCCTCCTCTCTCATACACACGACCAAATGCAGATGAAGACAGCAAATGTAGCAGCAGCCTCCGCATCGATAGGCCTCCACATTCACAAAGGAAAAAGCAAGATTCTCAAATGCAACACGGAGAACACCAACCCAATCACACTTGATGGCGAAACTCTGGAAGAGGTGGAAACATTCAAGTACCTGGGGAGCATCGTTTATAAACAAGGAGGATCGGATGCAGATGTAAAGGCGAGGATTGGCAAAGCAAGGGCAGCATTTCTACAATTGCAGAACATATGGAACTCAAAACAACTCTCAACCAATTTCAAGGTCAGAATCTTTAATACGAACGTCAAGACAGTCCTACTGTATGGAGCTGAAACGTGGAGAACTACTACGGCCATCATCAGGAAGGTACAAGTATTTATAAACAGTTGTCTACGCAAAATACTCAACATCCATTGGCCGGATACTATCAGCAACAGCGTTTTATGGGAGAGGACAAACCAGCTTCCAGCTGAAGAGGAAATAAGGAAAAGACGTTGGAAGTGGATCGGACATACATTAAGGAAATCACCAATGTGCATCACGACTCAATCCCTAACTTGGAATCCGGAAGGGAAGCGGAAAAGAGGAAGGCCAAAGAACACACTACGCCGGGAAATAGAAGCCGATATGAAAAGGATGAATAGCAACTGGATAGAACTGGAAAGGAAGGCTCAGGACAGAGTTGGATGGAGAATGCTGGTGAGCGGCCTATGCTCCTCGACGAGGGGTAACAGGCGTAAGTAAGTAACAACTTAAAATATTTAAGGAAAGAATGTGTATTTTTCTAAAGTAGAACTCTTTTGTGACTTCCATAGGCTTGTAGCAAGCCCATTCAACTACTGTATTTTTTGTGTGCTCTCTGTAATCTTAACATTTTAACCACTGTAAATTTATGTGTGAGTCTGATTTAGCGCATGTCTGCACATCAACCTTAATTTGTTCTCTCATTGGTTGTAAACAAAGACAATCAATAATTTATCCACAATCCATTAACACTCAAAAATATATATGGATTTTTAACACTCACACACACACTCGTTTGTTTTGCCGGTGTGCTTGCTATATGTACGCTTGTGGATTTTTACCGAGCTTCAACAATAAACTATCTTTACAACTGGTGTTCAGGCTTTTGAATAATCTCGAGTAAACCCGTAATTCAACTAGGAGATTTAGCCTGCAGTAAATATTCAGTTATCGGGATATTATTTATTTATTGGAGTCAGATATAGAGGAATTAATCATCTACAGCTTATCCAAGCCAAACTCTAGTTTTCTAAATACTTGAATTTGCATCACTCCTACTCACTTTTTGGTCTACTGAATCATGTCATAAAATATAATCACGACAGGTATTCTGATTAAGTCCTGTTAATATTTCTATGTGACTTATGTATACCACTAAAGTTTGCTATCAATCGTCTTTAACTATTTTTAAATTTGTACTATAGTTACTGGGTAAGAACTAGTTATTTCGATTTTCTTCAGTTAGATCAAATTTATAAGTATCTTTATTGATTGATTTATTTGAACACATAAATATTGGTACAAAAAGGAACCAGATATATGCGCCACACAAATCTCATTTGATTTGTGTGAGGGCTGTGATACTGCCCGGGTGCCCAAACTGAAGCAGCTGGTTTTCTTAGGGGGCCACAGCTGGAGCCTTTGACCTAAAGACCTAATCCACAAGGCAGTGGAGCATCGTGAGGAGATGCATTCCCATGGTGGCCGTGACCAACAATTGGTTCATACGCCATTCGTTCCTTCAGGATACTGGAGCCCATGTGCACCATTGGTTTGGAATCAGGATTTCCCAACTCCCCTAGGTGGACTTTTCGTGTCCACCAACCAGATTAAAGCGTCGGACATTCACTGTTTGTCCTCTCAATTTCGTAAACAACACCGGGGCCACGAGGAGGCAGTGAGTAGGACTTCCTTGACAGAGGTTATATACGCGTGGCCATGTTAGGGCATTTGGAGAGGGAGAGTGGACTCTCCCTACTCTCAGCTGTACCAGGGTATTTGGGGGCATAGATAATCTGGTGAAATCCGTAAATTTATAAAAATCCTCTGGTAAGATAAAATCTGTGATGTTATTTATCACGGTAAATGACATTTTTAAAAACCCAATAAAATTGTCAGTACAAGTATAATATAATAATTGAAGTTAAAAATAGATTTCAACCGTTAAATCTTAATTATTTAACTTTAAGAAATTGTGGTAATCTAGAGTTCATCAATCAGTCATATGAAAAGTAGACAAAGGATGAATAGTCCTGCGACTAACTCATATCCATATCATATAATGTCCGATTCTAAACATAAAGATGCAATTATAATACTTCTAGGATTACGTCTGGTATATATAATAGTGAGTTGTATGTAAAATAGATTCCGTCGTCATTTAAAGCTTCCTATTCATTCTTAGTTTCAATACTCACTACCAGGTTGGGTTCCAGTATAAGAAACGTATATATCCGTATGTACTAAACAACCTCAGAACTTAACGCATTAGTACCCCAGATATAGTGAATTCAATTTAGCCCACATGCATTATTTCTTATATATGCATAAATTTATAAAATTAATTTTGTCATTTTACATCAATTTGCATCACTCTTCTTAACTTTTTTTTAAAAACAAACTACATTGTAGAACTTCATGTCCAAAAAAGTGGCAAGCCTGTTGTGATCCAGTACGTTGTCGATTACGTGGTAATTCCCAGTGCGCTGGTGGTCCATGTTGTGATATTATTAAGAAAGATTCCCTGGAAAATTTAAATCAATCGGCATCTTTTTATTGCAAATTAAAATCTTCTGGAACTATCTGTCGTAATGAATCTGGTACTTGTGATTTACCGGAATATTGTGATGGTCGTAGTCAATGGTGCCCAGCCGACGTATACAAAATTGATGGTCAATTATGTTATACCGATGAAGGTCGTCGTGTAAGTGTTATCATCTTCAGGAAATTCATTATGTTAAGTATATCCATTCAATTGAAAATATTTATAGGAAGATTGATGACTTATTGTATTTCAGACAGACATAGGCGTCACCAACATACAGTCTACCATAGATGTGAGTTGGGCCAAGTTGTCTTACCAGATTAGCATGATGAGACAGGAATAAAAAAGAATTAGCTGAAATAATGTAGTAGCAAGGACAAAATGAAAGGTTATGCCTTAGGAACATGGTATTAAAAGACAGAGTGACCAGATATTTATGAGGGAATACTGAAATTCGATATTGAAGGAAAGCTGAAGATTAAATAGTATCTGCGCTATTGCGAACAGTATTAGGTCATGCCATTCAACGTTTCCAACTGCTGGTCGCTGTTATCATGCGAACTCCAAACACATAGTCTGTATCTACCAATATAACTCAGTTCAACCGTCAATGGCTTCATGTACTGATCCTGCATTCTGGCTTGGTCGACTTTGGCTTTCTTTCAACCTGCTCTTACACCGACAAACATCGCACCTCTGGGTAGACCGTGGCTTGACAAATTTAGCACTTGTGCGTACACGCTGATATATATATATATATATATATATATATATATTATTTATAAGGCTAACTTTTTCTAACACCTTCCTTCCTTTGTGAGAATTCTTTCCCACCTACTTTTTCATTATGGCATAACCTAAAGGAACATGTTTCCCACCCAATGTTGTTTGATTGTGTCATCATGATATTCAAACCTGACCACTATGTCAAGTTAACATAGTTCTGGTAGACTTAATCTCCTCACTAAACTATCGTTATAAATCACATAGCTATCTAACCGTGTTAAGTCACTTCTTAATTGGTTCACATTGGATTGTAAGCGTGTTTTTTTATTCTCGCAATATTTATATTAAGGCATATTCTTATAAATCTGTGTATTATTCGTTTTATTCTATAGTTCATTTTTCTGAATAAGAAAAAATATTTGGCAAGCTCCAAAGATTAGTTAACGTTATATTTATTCTTATGTTTAATTATCTTCTTGTTTCATTCTGAATTTCGTTGATAAGACCACTATGTGGTACATTAAATGCTCCTAAGTTTGTCAAGAAAGCAAGCGACACATAAACCCATAGTAAACCTAGATAAAAAAACAAACTTAATTTTTATAATGTTCTGCTGATATCGACCAAAGATTCCATGAAAAAAGTGCTGACTCATTGGACAGCTTTTTGTCCTGTTTCAAAACTTTGAAAAAAGTGCCCATCCACAACCCTTTATGGGATTCATATTGAACAGTTTATGATCTCAAAATAATCACGAATAAATGAAAACCATACTGATTTTGTATGGAATAACTCACATTTCCAGGTTCAGTTGATTCGTATGTCATATCACAATCAAGATTCGGTGTCCTAAATAAATTTGATAGGTTTCATCATACAATTATCTGACACCCGCAAGTTAAACTAATGATAACGTCATCTTTACCAGGAAGATAACTAAATAATCTCTTGAAACTGCGAATATTCAGGCGATTGTTTTGTTTTAGTTTTATATAACCCAAGATATGTTGTGTACACCCCAGATGTGACCGAATCCAAATATTTTTATCACGTTATGGATAACAGGTTATCATCTTATCATTGGTTACGCTTATTGTTTTTTTTTCTTCTCAGTTATTCCCTGTCTTATGCTATCGATTTCTATCTGTAGTTATTTTTGTATTTAAATGACTTTTCTGACCACTTATTTCTATGATTGAAGGGGGTTATTAGTAAACTGTAGTGATTGGTTATTCTAGTAGTCGGTTTTATTTTGCTAGGTAGTTGATCAGTTTAATTACATACCTTTTATAATAAACTAATATCATAGTAAACACTCGAAAAGTAATACTTTTTAAATTTTAGAAATCGTGTTCCTGACTAATCTTATTTAAACAATCATTGAAAACCAGGATCAACTGGACAGTTGCTTCACCCTAGTGTGAAACCTATTAACAGTAGGTGTCGACGACCCTACCGGGGATTGAACCCTGGACCTTTAGGCCTCGTAATGAGCACTTAAATAACCTTTGGACCATTTTGGTAGCGTCTTAGTGATTTATATTTTTAACTTTAGTCAACTTGTCATATTATATAACCATATTTTCAATACTCTGTCACTCGTCAACGTGTCTGAACTCCACTGGTTTCAGCTTCTCACTAGAATTCTAGGAATTACCATTGGAAATAAGTAATGTGAATGTGATTATTTTTCATATAATGAATTTGTTTAGGTTAGATTGTTGATCTCATTTATGTATTACACAAATTCTGGTGATCTACAACACTTGAATCATTACACAAAATCCTTAAAAATAAATTTATAATTAATGAAATCCCTTATCACTTAGAATTTTGTCAGTGAACCGATAAATTTTAAAAGTATAATGAATATTTGTTTTGTTTTATGACAATCAATATACGTTGCATCAACATGAAACATGGTCAACCTGTATCAACATACACGTACACACGCGCACTTAATAGTAAATGAGATAGTACGAAAAGTGTTTTATATGATAAACATGGAAAAGAAATAGGGGTTTTTCACTTTCTCTATATGTATCTATCTACCTATTTCTCTATCTACTCCTTTCTTCACTAGTTGTTTACTAATGTTTACTAAATATCTGATTGTATGAATAAATAAAGGAATCAACCATATATTTTTCCAAAATGTGTATTGTCTTTTATTCTGAATAGATTTGAACAGATTGTTAGTCGTTAATGAAAATTATTACTCTCATTATTATATTACTTAATTAATGACATGTAAAACTTGTCATAGTGATGTGCTTTAATTTTATGACTGACTTTAAATACAAAAAATTATTTTAAACAATATGCATACTACTAGGTAAGACTTGATACATTTTAGTGTGAGAAAAAAATCAACATTTCAACTAAGTAACTGCTATAATATGGTGTCATGTTCATTTGCCATAACCGTTAAATTTATTGTATTTAATGTTCTCGTAAAGATATGAAATAAGTTAACCTTTTGATTGAGATCATGAATCGATCGGTGTTAGACCACCATTGAAAACCTGGAAGCACTGGACTGCCATTTTAATGGTGGTCCAACACCGATTGTTTCATGTATTCAATCCAAAAAATCTCCATAGTACTATATTGATATAAGTTAACTGTCTAGTTACCCATCCAGCGCTTCCAGGTTTTTCGATTATGGTCTAGCTGAGATCGTGAGTTTTAATATTATTGTAATATTACAACGTCCATAAATCCTGTAAACTAATAATATTCATATGCTCACTAGCGATAGGCTTCATGATGTAATTTATGAAGTTCTAGTGAGATGGCATGATCTGTGGAGTTCAGTTCTTGTCTGTTATCCACTTCAGGCAATGGATGGAAAGTTCCTCCAGCACGTGGGACTCGAACCCAGGACCTTTGGTTCTCGTGCGCGAACGCTTAACCTCTAGAACACAACCGGAATCCAACGGATGAAGGGTTGCGCAAGATCATGGATCGATTGAAGTTAGGCATTAACACCGTTAGATGCCGGCTAAGTGGTCTAGATGTTTAACGTTCGCGCGCGAGACCGAAGGGCCTGGGCTCGGGTCCCACGTAAGGGGTCGTGGGTGAGCACTGCTGAGGAGTCCCATGCTAGGACATCGATTCAGAAACAACTTTGACTTTTATTTTTCATATGAAAACAAATTAACACCTAATATCATCTATTATTAACTGAATCTTACACACATACATGATCCTTCATTCATTCAATACCACATTGTGAACTTTTCACATGATTCCCATATAACTGACACATGTTATCCTACTTACTAAAATCAACATCTAAATATGATTGGATAAGCACAGTAAAGATTTGTTTGTTAAACATCATATATTTATTTGATAGTTTTGATTCTGTTTATTACCCTAAAGACATCCAGACAAGTTTACTGAACGAAATGTTGGACTTATTTAAATTTCAATCATTGAGTTTATTTGAAAAGTATATTTCACACATAGTGGCTTTTCTACACTCAGCGCCCAATTTTTGTTAAACTATTCATTCTATTATTGACGAATATTCGTATAATTTAACTTAACTGAGTTCCGATAATGCAATGAGAAGACGATGTTCATCAGAATTATGTGTTATATTAGCGCAATACATTTTGAACAGTCTGGTCACACATATACTTGTAAGACATTTTTATATGAAAATTAAAAGGTCAACTAGACAGGTTAAGGTAAGAAAATAAATAAAGTACACAAAAACAATGTAATGACTAAGCAGAGATGGATAGTGGCTAGCAGTGGAATCCAGGACGCGCGTTTCGTCCTATTTGGGACTCGTCAGCTGGATGCACATATGCCAATTAGAGACTGACCAGTTGCAGTCCTAACGAATCGATGGGAAGATTCGAACAAACAATACTGAATGAATTTAATGTAATGACTACTCTGGATAATAAATCGGCATTACCAGGATAGGTTAATGGTAAGAACAAATTGTTTTTGAACACATAAAGGGGGTTTCAATTTCCGTATAGCCAAGGCTTCAATAAACCTTGGTATACGTCCTTGAAGGCTTTTGTACAACACTACAAACGCTGACTTGATGTCAACCTTATGACCAGTTTCAACCAAATGTTTCGCAATGGAGGAAGATGTTTGTCTATCCTGTGATCTTATTTGACCATTGGAATTCATTTGGTTCTGCAGCCATTTAGGTATGTGTTCCGCCACCATTAATTGCAGATCACGATTGCTCCTCCGTATGTACGTGTTCCGCACATACATGTAAATTGATATACACAATGGTATGTGACACATTCGCTTATATGCTGTTTAGGTTTTTGGTGAAACATTGACCTTGTCTTTTCGATTATGACACGTTGAGCTGCATAAATCAGTCAGTCAGCGACAACGTAGGACCAGGCACACACATTTGACTACTTCAGTCCCTATCCTTAGTTCAGGTG